CTCCCCGAAGTGCACAAATTTTTGTGCACTGGGCCTTTAGTAGATAATGAATTTTGATTGTGTTTTTTTTACATATCTTCCTATTTAAACATTTTTAATCTAAAAGCTTTGCTGTAATTGGGATTTAGCATTCTATGTTTGTGTTTATAATTTTAAAGTCAGAACCTTGCCTGAAGGTGACCTGAAGAGGCTGTAACCATGAGCAACATTGCTAACACAGATGCATATGCCCACCACCATCCTCACCTTCAAGTCTCAAAGCCCAGGGAAGCTATGCAGCCTGATAAATACTGGAAATATGACTCATATTATCATAATATACATTCCTATTTCATTCATTTGGTAATGAAGAACTATTTGAATGCCTTCTCTCTGTGAATAATACATTTTCCATTATTATTCATGACTAAACCACAATACTTATGGAAAACTGGCCATTATTTAAATAGTATCCCTACTTCCTTATAATTAACATTTTGCTCATAATTATAATCAAAAGAACCATTATTCAGGAGTTATAATATAAAAAAAATTATTAGCACTGCCTGGCTAGAGTAGCTCAGTGGTTGAGCAATGACTTATGAACCAGGAGGTCAGGGTTCGATTCCCAGTCAGAGCACATGCCTGGGTTATAGGCTCGATCCCCACTGTGAGGCATGCAGGAGGCAGCCAGCCAATGATTCTCTCATCATTGATGTTTCTCTCTCTTTCCCTCTTCCTTCCTCTCTGAAATCAGTAAAAATACACTTTAAAAATCATTAGGACTAAATAAAATAAAATATTTTGTAAAACAAAAAAATTATGTTAGAAATTAAAACTGAGAAGTTTTATACATATATGCTTTAAAAAAATAACAGCATGAATTAATTATATATTCCCACAAATAAGATGTGAACTGTATCCTGTTATACCTCACCCACTTTTATATTGAGATGTGCCTTTTAATTCTTGATTTCTAGGGTCTCTTTTGTATTAGGAATATTAATTCTTTTGCTTTGATATGAGTTGCATATTTCCCCCTGATTGCCACTAATTTTTTTCTTGCCATTAATCCTTACCAGAGGATATTTTTTCCATTGATTTTTAGTTAGTGAAAGGGAGGGAGGGGGAGAGAGAGAGAAAGAGAGAGACATTGATGTGGGATTGGTTGCCTCCTGCGCACCTGGACCAGGCCTGGGATGAACCTGTGATTTTCATCCCAGGCCTGGCCCAGGCATGTGCCCTTGCCTGGGAATTGAACCTGTGACCTTCGGGCGCATGTTGACAATCTAAACACTGAGCCACACTGGCCAGAGTGCTTTTTTAAATGTTGTCAGTGGAGCAGATTTTGATGGCTACGTAGTAAATTTATTACATCACTTCTTTTGTGGACTCAGGATTCTGAGTCATGGTAATAAAGACCTCCTCATTATTCCAAGGAGGTATAACTTTCAGAAAAAAGCCAGAAATATACATTTTTGTCAGAAAGTTTTAGAATTTCAAGTATTGACTGAATTTTGTGTGAAGTGTGCCCTGCACCCCGGACCACGCTCAGCCCAGAGGCCAGCATGTGCAATCTCTGCACGAAGATTGGGTGCTGATGTCAGGACCCCGTGGCAACATCACAGTGTGGCTCCCTCTGAGTGCCATTCATGTAAGCCTACTTCTTCCCAGATCCCAGCCAAGAGGATCTTTTCATCCCCCAGAAAGGTGCACAGAACCTCAGGGGAAGGCAGGTGGCATCCACCATGGATGGGGTGGAGGTCCAGAAGTCCAGGGTGGGAAGGGAGAGAGACATTTCCTCATCACTCTCCCTGATGCCGATGCTGGAATCCTTTTAATAATCTCTGCCTGGTGACCACCCTGCTTACTTACTCCTGATGACAGGAACACACAACTTTCTGGGAAGACTGACTCAGTCTGTGGTCGGTGCTGATTCTCTCTTATTAAACCCAAATCTGCCTCTTCTCTGGCCCCAGCCCACTAGTCCTTGTCTTACCCTGGGATGTCACAACCGAGCACGTGCAGAATGTGTAGGCAAACTGTGTCAGTTGCCCAGGTACTTACCAGATTGTCCCACTGCACCAGTCTCCCCGGCCCTTCTTTCTGGCAAGCCTATGCTCTCTTGCTTGCACCAAATGCAGCCTTCATGGGAGATGAGCATTATAGCTCATCATAGCACCTGACACGTAATGTGCTCACTATGTATTGAATGTATGGATGAATTATTAAACTCAGCCCAATTGTCCATCGCTGTGTCTCTTCTCCACCCGTTACCTTCTCCATGCCAACCCAGTAATCCATCACATCAATCGCGAAGTTAAACCTGGCAGGGACTTCCTGGTGGCCCCACGGCAGCGATGCCCGTTGCTTGGTATGAATGTGGACAGTGTGGCAGGCCATCTGAGTCCTCCTTCGGATGCAGATCCCTGGAGTTTCTGCAGCCAGTGCATGGCCAGACCTGTGCAGGAAAGGTGACAGAGGTCTTTCCTACTAGAGCTACTCCACTCGTCACTGCTGCTCATGAAGTTCAAGCCCCTTACAGCTTCTTCCAGAAGGAATTTGCTGTGGATATGAGTGCATTGCACTCAGTGTCCATCGCAGTTGGGCATGCCATTCTCCACAAGCACAGCACCCAGCCAGATCTTACCTCTCTAGCACTTCTGGCAGCTTTGTGGGCACTCAATTCTAGGCAGTAAACCCCTTAGTGCTTAAAGTACGGGGTGTGGTGGACTGATTGTTGTTCCCCACAACTTGCTCCTTCCCTGTGTTGGGATTATATATCCCCACCAATTTTCACTGGAAAGTGTATGTATCCCACATGTTGCCTCATGGATATGAGTGGATGTGATTGTGTGGTGGTGAGTCAGGAGCCCTTGCATTTCTGCCCTCTCTCATGTGTGTTGCATGCCCCAGGTGGTGCTCTGTCTTCAGCGTGGGTCCCTGAATGATAACACCTGTAGGCTGAGCTGAGCCCAGAACACCCACAGCCTGCCCAAAGGCTCATGGGAAAAATATGCGTGGTTCTACGCTCTTGCGATGTTTGGATATTTGTTACTACAGTAAATGCTGACTAATACAAGTTTCATCTATTTCCTTCAACTGAACTTAGCACATAGCACCTGACACACAGCATCACTTCAGAAATGATGACTCTGTCATTGTTTCCACACGGGCTTCAGGGGCAGTGCATCCAAGGCCATGTAGGCTGGCTTCTGAGTTCTAACATGTGCACCTGGGGGAGCTTGCGGAATTTAAGTCTAATGACTTTGCTTTAAGGAATCAAGCCACCAGCTGGCTGGTTTCCCATTCCCCACTGTGGGTCTGGCCAGCAGCGACCAGAATGCTCAAGGTCTCAGATACTATGCCTCCTCTTTTATCCTCTAAAGAACAGAAGTGAAGATCTCCTGACCAACCTGCTGGTCTTGCTCTCCTTCCTTGGCTTCCTCTTTCTCATTCTCAGGTCTCACCTCCTCAGAAGGGCCTGCATCCTTGACCACCACTCAATCCTGGTTCTCTGACTGCCCTTCTTCCAGCCACCCCACCCTCTCCCTTTGCCACACAAGACACTTACTCCTCTGCCCAGTGCTGCTTCTTCGCTAAGACCTGGCAGATCTCCCTTTCATGGGCCCTGTGGCATGCAGATTGTTTTCCTGAGGATGTTCATGCTCCTGCATAGCTCTGCCCTCTACAGACTGGTTAGTACTATGAAGAGACATGACCCCATAAGTCCATTCCCTGAAACAACGCTCACCTGCCAAGTCCTTCCAGGAAGTCTCTCTAGGGATCTCTTGGTCCACCCTCCTCCTGAGCAGATGGCTCTGGAATCCTGCAACCGTGGAGGAGAGCACAGCTTACCAGGCAGAAAGCTCAAGAGACCTGTGAAACGTCAGTGAGGGCAAGCTAATCATTAACTGTGGACAGTCCTGAGCCTTACTTGTGGTAATATCAATCCTTGTAATCATTATTCTGAACTCCATATCTGGTAAATTTCTTATTTCCATTTCAGTTAGCCTTCTTCTGGAGAATTCTCTTCTTCTTTCAGTTGGGGCTTGTTCTTTTGTCTCCCCATTTGGCTGCCTGTTTGGGGTTGTGTCAGTCTATTAGGTGGATCGGCTACGACTCCAAGTCTCTGGTGCAGGACAATGTCAGACTCTGTTTGTGACTGGCCCTGAGTGCTGTTTGCAGCTATCAGCAATACACAGCTTGTGGATCCCTCAGCTGGGGTTGGGTGCCTTTGGAAAGACCAGGATGTACACCAAGGTTTGCTTTTTCCTAGCCCCAGGCTCAGAAAGAGATCAGGCAAAGACTCAAAGCCTCCAGAGATCTGCCTCTGCCTGTAGTCTGATTATCATTCTCTGAGTCTTAATGCACCTCAGGCTATAGATCACAGCAAGGTATATACCAGGGGTGGGCAAACTTTTTGACTCGAGGGCCACAATGGGTTCTTAAACTGGAGCAGGGGGCCGGAACAAAGGCATGGATGGAGTGTTTGTGTGAACTAATACATGCTAACACTGCTGCTGGTGAATCAAAGTAAACATCATTACATAAAAGGGTATGGTCTTTTTTTTCAATAGTTTTATTCATTTCAAACGGGCCGGATCCGGCCCGCAGGCCGTAGTTTGCCCATGGCTGGTATAGACTCACCAGGGTGGGGCAAGAGTTTTTTCCAACAGGGTGGGGCAATTGCTTTCCTTCAGGCAAAGCTGCCTGGATGGTAAATGTCTCCCTGAGAAAGATGTCCTCTGCAGTATGAGGGAATGACTCATTACAGGAAACCAGGCTGGCTGCCTTCTGAGCCCCCAACCCTGGACTCTCCTCACACAACTCTAGTTCCCTCTGCCCTCCCTCTGCCAGAGCCCAAGGTGAGTGGATGCACATGAAATTTTGTGTGTTGTGCCTTTAATAGGGTGTCTGCATTTCCAACCATCTCTCCCTGGCTGACAGCAACCCTGCTGCTTTTCACAGCCAGATGTTATTATGAGTACCCTTCTCAGTTCTGTTTCTCTGGGTTAGGGACCCAGTTTGGGATTTAGATGCCAGAGTTCTCAGTGGGCATCTCCCACAGCTGAGATATCCCTCCTGAATGCCAGCTGCCAGGAACCTGGCCAGCTCTTTCTCACCTCTGCCCTTCCTACCTGTCTCTATGTGGTCTCCACTTTCTGTCCTTGCTTATCAGGGTTCTCACCAGCTACTCCAGTTGATTATTCAGGATAGTTTTTATGTACTTTAGCTGTAATTCCAGTTAATTCCTGGGAGAATGTCTATGTAGTTTACACTTACTCTACCACCATTTTGGAACTCCTGTTCTTCTTTTTGAAGCATTTGTGAATGGGATTGTTTTCTTAGTTTGCCTACTTATAGTTCATTATCTATATATATAAAAGCCTAAGTGACCAGATGACTGGACAGCTGGGTGACCGGCCAGTAGTTATGACATGCACTGACCACTAGGGGGCAGACGTTCAATAAGGAGCTGCCCCCTGGTGGTCAGTGTGCTCCCACAGCAGGAGCGCCACTCAGCTGGGCTCACGGCTGGTGAGCATAGCTGCGGCCGCACAAGGCTGTCCCACGGACACTCCCCCGTGTGCCAGAACAGTGGCAGCAGCAGGTGCAGTAGGTCTGGGATGAGTGGGAGCAGGTGGCACACAGCCTGGGCTTGGGTTCCTCCTGAGCCACCTGCACTTCCCACACTACTTCATGGTGTGCGGGATCGATGCAGACAGCAGGCTGGAGCTCAACGAGCTGGTGGGTAAGGCTGGGCTACGATGGCTTGGAGGTCCACTGATCCCCACAGGCCAGGCCAAGGGACCCTACCGGTGCATGAATCTGTGCACTGGGCCTCTAGTTGATCTATAAAAATGCAACTGGGCCCTGGCTGGGTATATCAGTTGGTTGGAGCATCATCTTGTACACCAAAGGATTGTGGGTATAATTCCCAATTTGTGCACACACCTAGGTTGCAGGTTCAATCTCCAGTCAGGTTATATAAGGGGCAGCCCATCTGTGTTTCTTTTTAACATCAATGTTTTTCTCTCTCTCCCTCCCTCTCTCTAAAAATCAGTGGATGGGAGAAAAAGAAAAAAGTAAAGGAAATGTATCCTCAGGTGAGAATTTAAATTTTTTAAATTTTTTAAAAATGCAACTAATTCTGGATATTTATTGTGTATCCTGCTATTTTGCTGAATTCATTTATCAGTCCCAGTAATTTTTTGGTGGAATCCTTAGGTTATCTATATACAGTATTATGTCATCTTTAAACAATGACAGTTTTACTTCTTCATTTCCAGTTTGGATCTCTTTTATTTCTTCTTGTCTGATCACTGTGGCTAGCACTGCCAGTACTATGTTCGATGGGAGTGGTGAAAGTGGACATTCCTGTCTTGTTCCTGATCTTAATGAAAATGCTTGTAGTTTTGTCCACTGAGTATGATGTTGGCTGTGGGTTTGTTATATGTGGTCTGTATCATGTAGAGATATGTTCCCACTATTCCCACATTGATGAGAGTTTTTATCAGAAATGGGTGCTGAATTTTGTCAAATGCCTTTTCTGTATCCATTAATATGATCATGTGGTTTTGACTTTTCTTTTTATGTGGTGTATCACATTTATTGACTTGTGGATATTGTACCAAACTTACATCCCAGAATAAATCCCACTTGATCATAGTGTATGATCTTTCTTATGTATTATTATCAGTTTGCTAATAATTTATTGAGGATTTTTGTATTTATGTTCAAGGACATTGGCCTATTATTTTCTTTTTTTGTAGTGTCTTTATCAGGTTTTGGAATTAGGATAATACTGAAAATAATACATAAAATGAGCTTGAGAGTCTTCCCTCCTCTGGAAATTTTTGGAATATTTTGAGAAAGATAGATCTTAGTTCTTCTTTAAATGTTTGATAAAAATCACCTGTAAGGTCAGCCAGTCAAGAGATTTTGTTTGTTGGAAGTTTTATTTTTATTTTTATTAATGCTTCAATTTCACTAGTTGTAATCTGTGTATTCAGATTCTCTGATTCAGTTTTGGAAATTGTATGTTTCTAGGAATTTATTCATTTCATCCAGATTATCCAATCTGTTGGCATGTAGTTGTTTGTAATATTTTCTTACAGTCCTTTGTATGAAATAGCCTGTACATTTTAAAATGTTGTTGCCAAGTTATGTAAACTCACATCTCTGTAAAAAACCTTTTTAAAGTAATTTAAAAAACATTCTACTTACTAAAAGAAAATAAAAATAAGTAATTGTTGATAGATGCAGTTATTGACATTGTATTATTCATATTTTGATCTTTTTTGTCCTTATTCTTAAATAAGTCCCTTTAAAATTTCTTATAATACTGGTTTAGTGGTGATAAACTCCTTTAGCTTTTTCTTGTCTGAGGAGCTCTTTATTTCACCTTTAATTTTAAATGACACCCTTAGTGGTTAAGTAGTCTTAGTTGCTTTTCATCGCTTTGAATATTTCTTGCCAAATCCTTCTGGCCTCCAAAGTTTCTGTTGAGAAATCAGCTGATAGTCATATGGGAGCTCCCTTGTAAATAAATAACTGTTTTTCTCTTGCTGCTTTTAAGACTCTTCCTTTGTCTTTAACCTTTGGCATATTATGTGTCTTGGTGTGGGCCTTTTTGGGTTCATTTTGTTTGTGACTCTTTGTGCTTTCTGGACTTGAGCATCTTTTCCCTTCACCAC